TTAAATATATAGAAAATATAGGACAAATATTTTGTGCTACTAGGGATGTGTTCACTTGATTGATTCACCATCGATTTTCTATTTATATTATTACTTTATTGAAACATTTCAGTCTAAATAGTGGAATATATGTTAAGTATTTCCGCACACTTTCTCATGAGGCAGTGAGAAACGTACATAATTTCGTTCATTGTTTCAAGAGGGTCTAAAGATCATCGAAGGTTCATCAATTCCGTAAGTAATTAATTTAAACGGCAACGAACCGTAGTTGACATTGCGGTTATACCTATTTCTATCAGAACCGATCAAATAACCGGTTTTTATATAAAAGATTTATTTTTGTCAATTAAGTGCAAGTAATAATCGATTTAGTAAGAGTAATAATAAACGAAATGAAAAAGAAGTTATTTTATTTCCAACGTTTATATTATTTTCAGTTGAACTTACCACACAATAATAGGTGTAAAAAAGCAAAATGATGAAATATATGCACGCGATGAATATAGTTTCTACTCTGACAATATGCAATCAATACGAACACATAAAATGGGAATACCCAAACTTCTCTTACGGGTGTTGGCATGTATGCATGAAATGAAATGGTATTAAAAAAAAAATTATACACGCCCAAATGTGTTTTAAAATTAACACTTTAAAGTGGATCATTCAACCGGCCGTAGGGTAAATAAGTACAGTACATATGTATCTCGAAATAGACCGGAAGAAAAAAGAGATAGATTATGCAACATTGACTTTATATATACATGTGTTACAGGAAACGTAGTGAAATCATGTGAGGAAAAGAAATGAAATTTAAATAATCATATTTAATTCAAATTTTGAGACCTCGTATTCCCATCGTTTTAGCATAGAAACATATTCAACACTTTTTTTGCCTTTATCCCGTTCAAATGCAAGTTTATCGATTACTACAGTGTTCTAAATTGTCGTAAAATTGTCCTGACCCTTTCGATTCTCATATCAGAGCCCTCGATAATTGTATATTGATCGAAATGTGAGCGCTCGACGCCATTTTGGTTCTGATCTGGGCTGAGTTAAAAAATTCAAATTTTTAATGTGTCAGAACAATTCTTAGATAATCAGAAGTGATACGTCTAAGTTTCGGACAATTTGGTCTAATACCCTTAAAAAAAGTGTTGTATTCGAATCGACTGATTTGAAGGAGGTTTCACTTCACCTTAACGAGCAGTGTCCACTCTTGAGCCCCGATCATTTTGAGTGGGAAATATTTTTTCCACGCATCGACACGGCAAAAAATGGTACCAAATAAAAATTCCTTGGCATTTCGAAGGACAGGTAATACGTCTTTTAGATTTTTACGGTGCCATGGCATTAACGAAGATGAATTTCGTTTTGAAAATGGATGGACGACCCGGTGGGTCATGCAGCGCCGGGAACGGGATTTTTTTAAAGCTAACGATGACGTGTATTGTACGTACGCCCTGTTATGTAATCTTTCATGTCGTGCAACATGCGTTGCAAACGTTTTGCTCTTGTCCTGTGAAAGATGCTGCCCGTTCCGTTGGTTTAAATCAAATATTGACCGTTTCCCGGGATTTTTCGAGAAACTACGCCGATTGGTCGTAACTCAATTAGGGTCCAATGGCGCTGTCGTCCGATCGAGTACCGGGTACGGTTACGACGCCCCTGATTGGTTATGACGCCCTGACGTCACTCAATGCCATTTAATCACACCAGAGAGCACTAATGTTTGCGCGGCCCGACTGGTACGTTTTATTAGCGCCTGATCGATTTATTGAAATCGCATAAAACTGACGTTGGCGCTCGATCTCATCGGGGGAATCTGTTTAAATTTGAATCGGATGTCAGCGATTTATCAATGGAGATAAAAAGGAAAAAGTCATGATTTTCTCTTTCATACCTTGGCATTGTAAAAACGGAATGATTCGGTCATGAATGCTAGTCATTTTCTAGTGACAAATCTTAATGGCGCAGATGAAATAAAAAAAAGAAAAAGGTAATAACAACGAGCCGCGAAAGCGTAAATTAATTTTGAATCAAATGAAATTCGTTCAACCCCTAGTAGTATAGAATAATTTCTAAATATTTCTTTGTAATCTTTGCTAAATATCTCAAGCGACAGATNAAAAGAAATGAAATTTAAATAATCATATTTAATTCAAATTTTGAAAGAAATCATTTAACTGGCTTGATTTTTTAATCGTTAAATACCGCGAACGAGAGACTGTACAATGGGTGCACATTGTACATTCATCGTATTTCACGATTTTAGCATTAAATACCGCGAACGAGAGACTGCGCAATTGGTGTACATTGAACATTCACCGTACTTCACGATTTTAACATTAAATACCGCGAACGAAAGACTGTACAATGGGTGTACACTGTATATTTATCGCACTTTACGATTTCACTGCCGAATGCCGCGAACGAAAGATTGTATCAATGGGTGTGCATTGTACATTCATCGTACTTCACGATTTCACGACCAAATGCCGCGAATGAAAGATTGTATCAATGGGTGTGCATTGTACATTCATCGTACTTCACGATTTCACGACCAAATGCCGCGAACGAAAGATTGTACATTGGGTGTGCATTGTACATTCATCGTACTTCCCGATTTTGCGGCCAAATACCGCGAATGAAAGACTATACAATGGGTGTACATTGTATATTCATCGTACATCACGATTTTAGCATTAAATACCGCGAACGAAATACTGTATAATGGGTGTATATTGTCATTCATCGTACTTCACGAGTTTACGACCAAATACCGCGAACGAGAGACTGTACAATGCGTGTACATTGTACATTCATCGTACTTCATGATCTTAGCTTTAAATACCACGAACGAAAGACTGTACAATGGGTGTACATTGTACATTCATCGTACTTCACGATTTTACGGCCAAACACATGGACACTGATGGACACTTACGTAATAACCATGAACCAGGCCGTACCACGTGGCGTAATGGACTCTGTATGGCTCTTACCATCTGCATTACTGACTCGTAGCAAAGGGTTCGAAAGAGTCGTTCAGATTTCCATAATCGGAGCCTTGGATGTCTGGAGGTCCACTTAAGGAGGGAGCCTCGAGAGCGGTAGGGTCCGATGGCAAGACCGGAGAAAACCTTCCCTTCACCGAGAAAATATCTGCATATATATTTGGAATCTGCTTAATTTACATTGCTGTATATACATGTGTATCATACGCTATAGCACTAGGAGAGTACAATGACCATTTACTCTTGAATTAAATTAGTACGGCATCCGACGAGCGCGACACTAGCGAGAGGCTCTCTCAATTTAATCCTGCTGCGTAAACGAGATACACCCGGTTATCGCTAAGAGGCTATTAGAGGTAATTTCTAAAGAATGAAGAGGAGCGACGCCATATCGTTTTCTTTTCACTTTACATTGACTCGGAGCCCGAGCCAAATTCGGGAAGGTCTGGTGCATCTCGAACAACCGTGAACCAGGCCGGATAAATTGCTCAATGCAGCGGATGATTCGTACAATTCACCTTACGAGCTCTGAATGGCAAAGTCTCCGAAAGAACCGTTTCAATGACCATAATCGGAACTTCGGACATTTCACGGCCCACTTAAGAAGGAAACCTCGAGAGAGGGAGGGCCGTTGGCGATATCCGAGAGGACCGTCCCTTCGCCGAGAATATATCTGCGTATATATTTGGAATCTGCTTAATTTACATTGCTTTATATACATATGTAATATATACCAGATAGTGCTCATAGGGTACAGTTGCCATTTACTCATTAAGTTATTAGGGAGGTTCAAGGAGCGCGTTGGGGGATGCTCTCTCGATTTTGCTTTGCTCTACTCGCGCGATATACGGTCACCATTAGGAGGCTATTAGAAGGCTATCGGAGGTACTTCTGAAGAATGGCGCACCGAAGAAGAGCTCGACACGAGAAGGGCACTGCAGATAATTGTCAACCAGGTGGCATCGATTACTCGATGCACCGTGTGACTCTTATCGTCTGCATGGCCGATTCTCAGCATCAAGGTTTTTGGAAAAGTCCTTCGATTTACATCCTCGAGGCCTCGGATATTTCATGATTCATTTAGGGAGGGAACTAGTGATGCGACGAGTCGATTACTTTACCAACTCGAGTTACTCGAATTCAAAAGCAATGCCAACTCGAGTTTGGACTCGAGTCGATAACTGGGTGCCATATACATTCGGCACGGCGAGTTGGCGAGTTACCTCGATTAGTGGCGACGAGTCATTATGTCGAGTTACTCGACATAATGACTCGAGTTGCTCGGAACATTGACGACTCGATGCCGCATACATTCGACGCGACGAGTCGAGTCAATGGTGAATAAAACGACTCTATTAACGGCGGCTCGTGTCAAGCGACATAACGAGTCGAGCAGTTCATTGACTCGAGTTACTCAAACATTGCCAACTCGAGTCGATGACTCGATTCCGCATACATTCGGCGCGACGAGTCGAGTCAATGGCAAGCTGGCGAGTAAAACGACTCGAGGAAAGCGACATAACAAGTCGAGTAGTTCATCGACTCGAGTTACTTAAACATTGCCAACTCGAGTCGATGACTCGATTCCGCATATATTCGGCGCGGCGAGTAGGCGAGTAAAGCAACTTGATTAACGGTGACTCAAGTCAAGCGACATAACGAATGGAGTTCAGTTCACTCGACTCGATTTACTCGAAAATTGCCAACTCGAATCGATGACTCGCTGCCGCGTACGTGCGGCGCGACGAGTCGAGTCAATGGCGAGTTGATGAGTAAAACGACTCGACTAAGGACAACTCAAGTCAAGCAATATAACGAATGGAGTTCAGTTCATCGACTCGATTTACTCGAAAATTGCCAACTCGAGTCGACGACTCGACTCCGCATACATTCGGCGCGACGAGTCGAGTCAATGACGAGTTGGAGAGTAAAACGATTTGATTAATTACTCGAATAAACAAATAAGGCGCGGTTGATATCTCGATACGAGTGACTCGGTCTCGCCCTTACCCTCGTAACTCGCATAAGTTTGTACCAATAACTCTAGTTACAATAACAATGACTCGAGTTGACTCGAGTTTAACGAGTCAAAATACTCGACTCGTCGCGTCACTAGAGGGAACCTCGAGGGGGAGGGCCCGAGAGAACCGCCCCTACGCCGAGAAAATATCTGCGTATATATTTGAAATCTGCTTAATTTACATTGCTTTATATACATATGTAATGTATGCCATAGTGCTCGTAGAGTACAGTTACCATTTACTCTTGAATTAAATTATCAGGGCTTTGAACGAACGAGTTGCGTGCAAGACGCTATCTCAACTGAGCCCTATCCTGTTCGCGCGACACGCGGTTAACCCTAGGAGGCTATCGGAGATAACTTCTGCGGAATGCCTTACGGAGGAAGAGAGACTGACTTGTGTTTTTCTTCTTATTCGTCGTACAGCTATTCGGAACGTGAGCTCGACCCGGGAAGAAATGGCGCGCCTCGAGGAAGCCGCCATCCCCGAGGACGATTAACCTTTCTTGAAATTAACTGAACAGATTCTGCTGCGAGGCATCGTTCTCGAATGTGCTCCAAGCGTTGTTCAACTCCATAAATATCAGTTTGGCAATGTTCTCGTTCGCGGTGCCCGCTTGCTGAAATCGAAAAAGACGAGCGTTAGCGTGCCAGTAATTAAGGTGAGGTGAAACATTCTTCAAATCAGTCGATTCGAATACAACACTTTTTTTTAAGGGTATTAGACCAAACTGTTCGAAACTTTGACACATCACTCCTGATCATCTAAGAATTGTCCTGACACGTTCAAAATTTGGATTTTTTAACTAAATTTTGTAACTCAGCCCAGATCAGAACCAAAATGGCGTCGAGCTCTCATATTTCGATCAATGTACAATTATCGAAGGCTTTGATATGAGAATCGAAAGGGTCAGGACAATTTCACGACAATTTAGAACACTCTGATAACCGATAAACTCGCATTTGAACGGGATAAGGGCAAAAAAAGTGTTGTATATGTTTCTATGCTAAAACGATGGGAATACGAGGTCTCGGGGTGAAAATTTAATAGACCTGGAAATCACAGATGGCGCAGGGGGTCCCTCTGTAGTCAATTAGGGCCCCAGAAAGCATGAATCCAGAGGATTTCTGGAGTTTTACTTCGATTTCTTTATAATTATTGTACAAAAACGACAGGTGGAGTATGCCAATTGGTACAATACCCAATATAATTCGACACGGCTGTCAATATAAAAACGAACGTCGGCAACGTAGGCATTTAGAAAAATCTTCTTTATCAACGTCGATCAAGTTCCTCGACGTGTTTCACTTCCCCTTAATAGCAATTACATTTTCGAAATTGTGCGCCCGGAATCCGGGATCTTCTCTAGAGACCGACAGAAATCTAGGGCAGTAGAGTCCTGCAGCGCAGTAAAACCCAGCTAGGACCTCGGGAAACTTGTGAAGGAGAGCCACGGGACATAAGTTTTTACTGTCGCGAGATAACCGAGCTTAAAGACGTCCTTATTACTAGGATTTTATTGTCGAGGGGTTTGTTCCCGAATGGCCGTGGTATATTGTTCATTGTTCCCTTCGCCCCTCACTTTGGAAATTCAATTGCACGGAATTGATTCTAGTGGTTTACTTCAGTTCTGGCAGGAATAGAATTAAACATACGAATCACGGAGTAGGGAATATGAACAAGTAAATGCATTTATGGATTTAAGAAATCAAAAATCGGTATTAACCTGTTAACCTGGGAATTATCTATTCTACGACTAGTTTCACAATGGGGACTTTTTCCTTTGTCTATATTACATTTTTAAATTTCCATGCAATTTAATATTTCCAAAATTACCTGGTATGACGAAAAATCTCGTAATACCAGGTAAACAGGTTAAACAAAATCGATCTTGGAATGGTTCGGTACATCTCTGTAAAAACTAATGTTCGATACGTAGGCTGGATGGCGGTCCTTTTGTAATGTATTAAGGTGAAGTGAAACCCCCCTCAAATCAGTCAATTCGAATTAGACACTTTTTTTTTAAGGGTATTGGATCGAACCGTGTGAAACTTTGACATATGACTCGTGAACACCTAGAAATTGTCCTGACATTTTCAAAATTTGCATTTTCGAGAAAAAATTGTTTCTTTTAGCCTAGACTAGAACCAAAATGGCGACGAGCTCTCACATTTCGATCGATATACAAGTCTTAAAGGCTTTGATATGAGAAACAAAGGTGTCAGGACAATTGTACGACAATTTAAAATACTCTGGTAATCGAGAAACTCGCATTTGAACGGGATAAAGGCAAAAAAGTGTCTTATGCGCTTCTGTGCTAAAAACGAAGGAAACACGAGAACTGCCGGAGATAAAATTTAGTTAACACTAAAATCACAGATGGCGTAGGGTGGCAATCTGCAGCCAATTAGAGCGTCAAAGAGCACGAATCCAGGGGATTTCTAGAGTTTTACTTCGATTTCTTTATAATTATTGTACGGAAACGACCTAAGGAATATGCCATTTAGTACAATACCCAAGATAATTCGTACGGTTGTTGATATAAATACGAACGTCGGCAACATAGGTATTTAAAAGAATCTTTTTTACCGACGTCGATCAAGTTCCTCGAAGTGTATCACTTCACCTTAAAAACTTTGAAAGTTAACGTTTAGCATTCAAAATGAAGTTAATTTCTTGCATTTCTTAAAATCAGGGCTAGAAACTAAACCGTTGAATATACTAAAAAATGCACCTTGTCAGGGTGAACAGCTAGGCAGGCTTTGCGATACGCCTTTTTAACATCTGCAGCGGACACGAGCTGATGCATTTCGTATCTTTGCCACCTGTCGGCCTCCGGCCACAGCACCGTGTGTAGAGAGCAAAGAAGAGCCCTGAGGTTACCCTTTTTCCCTTCGGTCCATTCGGCAATTTTTAGCCTCTCGGGATCCATAGTCTTGGCGGCCTCGACCTTGCGCATTTGGTTTATAGTCTTGGGGCTGTCCTTCTCGGCCTTCCGCGAGCTGAAGAAGTTGTAGCCCTGACTACCCAGGAGATCCTCGAAAGCATCCCCAGGTTTCTTGGGGCCGGCAGAAGCGGCGCCGGCGACGGGCTCGGAATTGTTACTCGTAGTGCCATTGGACGTCGCGGATTTGTGCACGCGGGGGCTTGTATGCACGGGAGTGCCAACCGGGGCAGGGCTGGCCGACTGTGGAGTGTTGGAGTCCCTAGGGGTTCCGTTCCAGCTGGAATTCAATCCAGCTCCCAGGGAACCGGCAAGATTTGCAAAGGGGTCTTTGCTCTGGGCCGCGAAATTCGGCACGCTCGCGTTTCGCGGGAAGTTCTCCTCCACGTTGGGCGCGTTCAGGGAGGTCTTCGAGTTGGCCCATCCGCCCAAGAGGTCGTTCCCTCCGCTTCCTGCCAGGGGATCGAAAAGGAAGTCGTTACTCTTGCTCTCGGTCGGATGACTTTGCCCGAAGAGTAAATCATTGACATTGACGTTGTTGGCATTATTGGCATTGTTGCCCTTGACCGTATTCCCGGCAGGCTGCTCGTGGCCGAACAGAAGGTCGTTCGTTCTCAAGTCGTCCGGAGCTCGATCGGTGTTCTTCGCCTCTTCCGATTGGAACGCAGCGAATCCGCCTAGAAGATCGTTTGTACTGGGCTCAGGGCCAGAGAATATGTCCAACCCAGGAGCTGGTGAGGGGGTTTCCGAGGTAGCGTTCAAACTCGAAGAACCAAGGTTGAGCAGGTCCGCTTCCGCAAACCTTTTTGTCTCGGCTTCTCTCTCCTGTCGCTCTTGGACATTTTCTTCGGGCAACGGCTGAGGGAGCGACATATCCTCCGGTTTTGACTCCGGAACTGGTGGCGCCTGTTCGGTGACCTGTAAAATTCCCAAGATTTTTCAGATTTTCGAGCTCGTCATAATGAACGATTAACGGTGGATAACAAGAAAACAATGCCAGTTAGACTTTACATTCGCTTCGCGAGGTTGACCAGCGGATCGGAAGTTCTCCAGGGTTTCCTCCATCTCCAGGGTCGATCCAAAGAGAGGGTCCGGACCGGGCTTCGGAGACCGTGCCTCCCAGGGGGCAGGAGGTCCCGATGTCTTCGTGGATTCCTCTCCTATCATGACGTTTAGCACCATCCTGAATTTCCCTCCCACCTCCGGGGTATCGTCTAGCTCTTGCTTCTCGAATACCAGAGTGCTCTCCGTTAAGGGCACGTAACCCGTGTGAAAGTACGTCGAGGCGATCTTAATGCCAATCACTCGACCCAGCTGTTGGCGGGCGTGAAAGACGACGATTGTAACGTCGCCCCGTACTGTCGCATCTCCCAGGATAAGGCAAACCTTGCCCTCCATCATGCCGAAGAGCTTCATCTCCTCATACTCCGCGCGTTTCGTGGAGAATACCAAGGCGCCGTTGCTGTAGACCTCGACATAGGGCCGGCAACCATCCCTCGCCTTCGTGAACAGAGGTACCGGTTGTAGGAGCAAGGAACGAAGCACCAATGGTCTTGGATGTGGATGTACTCCGCAAATTAGGAAGCTCATGTAATTGATAATACGCAGTTCTGATGGCTGCAATTGGGGTGGCTGACACCGTCTGGTTGTATACAGGGTAACTGCCTCTTCAACGGACGTCAATGCTCCAGAATAAAGAAGCAGGGCACAAGCCACCGTTGCACTAGCTCGATAGCCATCCTGTTTAGAAATAATATAGATTAAGAAATTTAAATTCAATGCTGAATTTTATATAAAATATAATGATGTGAAAATTATAAAATCAAAAATGTCAAAACCGTTTACTTTCCTAGGTTTCTTTCGGCGTTTATAATTAGACGTGGAACATCAGTTGAACATGTAGAACTTTGTTTCCTAATAACCTTTTGTGGATGGCTCGGGTAATAATGATTATTTGAACCTATTATTGTTGATATATTAAATTATTTCGGTTCTTATTGAGGGATCATCAATTTTCGTGAACTACGTCATGTTGAATAGTAATTAATCTTGTTCTTAAATAGAATGAGCTTTGTAACTTTGATATATTAGTTCAAAAGTATTTATACTTGACGAGTTCATAAGCTTCAACTGAGTACTACGTCCTCTTACTCTAAACATAGCTCTACTGGGAATTTATTTCTCTTTAAATGACCAATCATACTTACCGAACAGTAAAGCACAACGACGTTATTGAAGTCAGCATCTAGATATTGATACATGTCCTGACAAATTTGATAAAGAGCCGAAAGCATGGGAGCATTAGCATCAGGCGAAGCGTAGGCAAAGGAGCAATCGATATGCCTTCCAGGAAGTCTGGAGACATTTGGCCGTCCTCGTGATAGATTATAAAGTTGAATCTTGGCAGGGGGCGGATGTCGAGTCTGAAGAAAGGCCCTAACATCTTCGACATGGTTAGCTCGATATGCAGACTCTATCCCGTCTGCTGGATAGGGCATGATTAATATTCGAGAGGTTAAGTAACTAGCGTCCAACTCGGTCCTGGCCATGCTTTGTTGCACGGAGTGCATCATTTTGCTTGATGTGTCTTTCAGATTTCTTAAAATACTGCCCGCACCACCTTTCAAGGAACTGAACAGACCCGACGAAGGGGCTGCAACGTGTTTAGGCATCGGTGGATGAACTGCAGGAGGTCTTGGTGGAGCCATTGCAGCTGGGGGATTCGGTCGAGGAGGAGGTGCCGTTGTCCTGTGCGACGGAGATGGCGACGTTGGTCTCGGAGGTGGAGCGGGTTTAACGATTTCTACTTTTGCTGGCTCCCTAGGATCGAAGTTATTTGATTCCGCTATTGCAGCTAGTCTTTCTAAGAGCGTCGCTGTTGTCAATCTTTCGGTCGGTGAAGCTTGCAGACAGCCTTTCACTAAGTCATGGAGACATCCAAGTCGTGGGTTCGGTGGCAATGGAGGGTATCTCGCATTGACAATTCCTAACTTATTACCTAGTAAAGTAAATAAATGTAGGATTAATTAATATTACTGTTATATGAAAGTTCTCTACATATAAGATCGAAGAATAAAAATAATGGACTTCTAATGAAATTACCTTAATAATAATGGAATTACCTTCAGGAAATGGATGCCGTAAACTAACTAAGGCATACAAAATACATCCAAGCGCCCAACAATCGGCAGGAGGTCCTATCGGTTCATTATTCCAGGTGTCCATCATTTCTGGCGCTCGATACATCGGAGTTGTGTACTTTGCCATCTGGTCTTCCAAAGTTGAACGTTTCTGAGCATTCCATGATGGATCTGGTAATATCTGCTGGGTAGTTGTACTTCCAAAATCACACAGCTTGATCAAACCGTCACTTCCGATTAAAAAGTTTTCTAGCTTAATGTCACGGTGAACAAAAGGTTGAGGTTGCTGACTGTGCATATGATGAACCGCTTTTGTTGCTTGATACGCTATTTTACAAACTTGGGCAAGGGTCAAGGAGTTAACAGATGTACTACGCAAAATGTCTGCAACTGTTCCTCCTGGACATAGTTCGGTAACTAACAAATATTCATAGCCTTTACGATCTTCTCTCTCCACCCGCTGAGCACATAAATACTGAATTACGTTTGGGTGGCCTGAAAGTTTCTTTAATATCTCTATTTCTTGAATAACATTCCTATTAGCTTCTTCATCGGTAGCAATGAGTCTCTGTAACAATTAAACAATTCTATGTTTAATGCAAAGAGTATATTTAAATTTGAGGATAACAAAATAATTTTTATTTACCTTAAGGGCATATTCTTTCCCCGTGGCAATATCTTCTACTGCAAACACTAAAGCCCAGCCACCTGTTAATATTAAATTTCATATTATTTATATAATAAAAATGATATACTTTTAAAATAATAAGATATGCGTACGTTTCATATATTAAATTATAAAACAGTCAGAGTCATATTTTTTTACAGAATTATTAAGTATTTACATACAGGAAAATTTTAAAAATATTTATATTGTTTCATCATAAATACTAAATGTTAGTAACTATAGTTATTTGATAACTAAGTAATTAATTGATTAACTAATCCCAAGCCAAATAAGAAGAAATAAAAAAATATCGAAAAAGCAATTGAAATAAAGCAACAAGACATAAAGTTTGATTTCTGATGAAAGAAGTAAGAGGACAAGCACATTCTGTAAATTATGTAATTTTGTAAATTTTGTTAAGAATTTTAAAGAAATCGTGAAACATCAGAAATATTTATTAAATGTCAATTATATTCATTATAGTTACTGTCATGACTGATCAGATTTATTTTTCTTTTAAAGAACCCGTAAAACTGTTAGAACATTAAAAATACATAAACTATACTAACATCTACATTTACGCTTATTACATGTTGACTTATAAACAATTAAAAAGTAAAAAAAAATCAATATAGAGGTTAATATGAGTTCCATAGAAAAAAACCATAATTGAAACATTTAGCAATTTCCCATTATTTTCACTCAAGAAAATACCACAACTTCATGTTCATCTATTACATTGATTACTCAGTGGACGCAATGTTAGGTTAGGTTCAAATTCGACGAAATCTCGAATTCGGGCATGTTTAAAAGATAAGGACCACCCTTTGGCATGTTAATGATCTGACGCAATGTTAGGTTAGGTTCGAATTCGACGAAATCTCGAATTCGGGCATGTTTAAAATATGAGGACCGCCCCCTGGCATGTTCATAACCTGACGCAATGTTACGTTAGGTTCAAATTCGACGAAATCTCGAATTCAGGCATGTTTAAGACATAAGGACCACCCCTTGGCATATTCATAAGCTGACACTGTTATACGAGGGATTTCAAGAAAGAGACTCTGAATGAAAATTTACAGGGGCAGCGGGACTCTTAGCCGGATTGAAAAAAGAAGAAACGGAAAAAAAAAGCATCATACGTGCATAACGCAACTCCAATTAACCTCCGATCTAACGGTCAAGCGTGGCTGCACCCCACCTCGAGAGAAAGTATAGGTGCAACGGCATCGGTCGAGAATAGATCCGAGAGAAATGCGCGGTGATTCGAAGGCAAAGAAGGGAAGCGGCCGCGAATCGTCCCACGTGAGATAAAGGACAGGTTTTGACAGGCAAGCACACGGAAGTCGGGGGAACGTATACACTCTCGGCGATCCCAGAGATCCCTGCGAGATGTCGAGCATGCTTTTGACACATGTCAAGTGAACGTCGCGGCACGCACCAGGTCGACAGCGAGTCCCCGCTATGGACTCGATATCTTACCGATGACACGTCACCGTACGCACAGGTGGCGAAGAATGACGTCGCGGCGGTTTATAATGCGCGGGGAAATTTTAACGGCGTTGAACTTTCCGAAGTGGGAGGATCTCGACGACTCACCCTCCGCGAGTAGCCTGTTCACTCGAAGCTTCACATTGTTGATCTCCAAGGTTTGTCCGACATACTCGTTCGAAGTGCCGGCGCCGTTCAGGTAGCCCAGCGCGGACTTGAAGTAGTCCGACATATTAAAATTATATTAAAATCCCTCCCTTAACGGTAGAAGGGCCCTTGCGTTAACGCAATGCAGACAGCCGCTGCTGCCCGGCCATATTGGATTCGTGACGTCACGCGTGCTTCAGGGCCGTGCCCGCGTTTCGCGGCGCCCCGACAGGTGGCACCCTCTTCGATGCGCGGTTGTAAATCGTTATTACCCGTTAGAGATGCGGAAAATAATTCTAGACGACGTATAAATCACGATTAAAGATGTCCCCCACGACTTTTCGGAAAAGGTATCCGTTAATCAATGATTCGACAGTTTACTCGGAGGAATGGGAAGGGCGTTAATGTCTCGAGCTCTCCGCCATTGATCCCCTTCCTTCGCGAAGTTCCTTTTGTCGTCGAGTCTTATGAGTACATTTATTCCATTACGTTGGCTCGAATCATCGTAAAGTTCAAGTAGACATATTGACTACTCTACATTTGACTTTGATCAGCAAAGTATATACGTAATGCACAAGGTGATCGTGCAAAAATATAGTATTAAGTTTACCAAATATAGCGACGTTTAAATATATTGTATCTTTCCCGCCGGGAGGAATTTTCGCGTTGCCATGGGTTACGCGCGTGCGCAGACAACGCTATTGACGAGTGCGACTCGCTAATGTATTTTTGATCTTTAAACTATATTGAAAGGTGAAAACCGTTTACAGCTGTGCTTGCTAATTCGAAAATCTTTTATATACGTTTAATTGATTGATCTCTCAAATTTAACTTACCTTTGCGTTGATTTATGTTGGTTACTCATCATGTGCGCATGTACTTGCATATTTGCTGGCAACTTGGCGGCGGATAATTGCGCCTGTATGGAATGTATATGTATACGTCTGTATGTGTATGCATTGAAGTTGATACTTCCCTTTTAATTCATGTGCTTGAGAGTTCCACGATTCACTGCTGTCACTTACAGCGTGTTCGTATCTGGTCACGTATATACACACGTTAACGGCAATTGAGTAAATTATGCTTGTGACATTTGAACACGCCCCTGATTCTCAGTCCTGTGATCACCTGTGATTCATTCAATTGCAGTTAATTTTTGGGCATAAAGGTACACCTTGGTATCATGTCTGTATTATAATAATATTTTTTATTATTCTCCGCCATAAATAATCAGTGTTAACTTCATATTATGAAGTAAATTATAGATTATGAATGACTATATATCGGCTTAGGTAAGGATGAAACCTCCAACTGCGTTGTTTTTCTATGTATAAGACAATTCAAAAAGTACTGTAATAATGTTTATGCTATTTATTTGTGTGTGTTGACACATACATATATTTCTGATATTGAAACTAGTGTGCAAATATTTCAATTTCTATTATACAAAGAGAAAAATTGAATTACATTTTATTAAAGGTTATGTTTACATTTGAAGGTGAGACTGTTTTGTAACTTTAATTTTGTACATTTTCTTGTTACAGATTTGAAAGGAAAAATAAAAAACCGTTTACTAAAGGTATTGTCAATTTCTTAGGTTTATGTCTATTTATACTTTTTCATTTCTGGTTTACTATTACATTTATGTGGACAAGTTATGTGAATATTTAAAATTCTAACAGTCCTTTAGAGTTAAGATTTTATATTATTTTTGGAGTAAAAATGGATTTGCGAAAAATCCTGTTATAAGTTGTATAGCATGCTTAAATGCTACATGATGTAACAGTCTTGGAATGTTACATATTAATTATTTGTTAATCGAACTTTATTGATTGTAGTGTTAATCAAACCTTTGTCAGCTATAATTTCAAATTTCTTTGACTTGTAATAAATATAAAATATTGCTTTAGTTAAAACTTACGTTCATGTTTAACAAATGGATATATAAACATAATATCTGTAAATTATAATTCCAGGTTTCTAGTACGCGGCTTAAAATGTTGAACGAAGTAGTCAAATTCACTAAGCTGAGGTCAGCAACGGAGCCTAGTTTCTGGGCAAAATTTGAAGAATTGAAACTGGATAAATATAAGCTGGAGGATAAGATAAAAATATCATTATGGGGAAGTTATAGTCTTACGCCTACAACAGATGGCAGAGCTAGTCTATTAGTTTTGGATTGTACATCGTTTAATGAGTGAGGATTGTTTAAATTATTCAATCGATAATCATCATATTGTGCTTCCTGTCACAATAAAAGTAACACTTGGATAAATTTTAGAAACGCGGAGACAACGACGCATGATACAGCAGTTCCTTGCACTGGGTTCCTTGTTAATACAAATACCTACGAAGCATTTAGATGGACAAACCCTGAAACATTCATCAACTCATTGGGGCAGCATATTTTAGATGCCATTAAAAATGGCACTGCATTGCAGGAACCATGGCAATTAACATTTTTCATCATTCTTTCATATGCTGATTTAAAGAGACATAGATTTCATTATTGGACTGCGTATCCGACACCTTTTAACTTACCTGAAACATATCATTATCAAGAACCACGATCTGCTACATTAGAATTTACACAAGATAAGATCGATGAATTACAGAAGAGTTTTCTGAAATTACCAGGCAAAAGCAAATGTTTTTTCTGTGTTTTTAAAACTGGTCACAACTTGGAAGTTGTTAGTCTTGCCAAAGGAGTTGAATGGATCAAATCAAATGTTGAAAGTCATAAAGACTCCAAGTTGGTAAATTCAATTATTTCATACATCTTTCATAATAGTAACTTTCAAGTCTTTTATTTATTTATAGAAATAATAGTCACCTTGTCTCTCAGATAATTACTCATATGGTAGTTAGAATTTCCTGATAGTAAAAGGTGTACATTCTGAACAGCACTGCTTGCTTAAATTTTATATTTCCTGCTTATACGATATTCAATAGTGAAACATTTATTTCTGTTCTTATTTTCAGGATAATGATTACGTATACTTTGCTTTCTACGATCCCTCCACAGAGTTGGAACCGGGATGGCCACTACGTAACCTTCTATGCCTTCTTTTTTGGCATTGTCCCTTTTTTAGTTTTCAACAAGAAATTAAAGTCCTGTCAGTAAGAGGACAAAATCTACATGATGCAATTGTATTTTCATTAAAAGCTAAAACATACGATGATTCAGAAAGTATTCAAAGAGCGATTTGTGAAAACCGATTGGTCGGTTGGGAGACAAATGTTAATGGTAAATTGGGGCCTAACATTGTAGATCTATCCAGCTCTATGGATGTCATTAAGTGAGTACAAACATGCTAAACTATATTATCAAATTTATTGAATAACTACCTGTAATTATTCTTTTACATATGCATTTTTCAAGGTTATGTGGGAAAGCAGTGGATTTAAATTTAAAACTAATGAAATGGCGTTTGGTGCCTGAGCTCAACCTGGATGCGATAAGTGGACCTCGATATCTTTTACTGGGTGCCGGGACACTAGGTTGCGCAGTAGCAAGAGTACTGATCGGTTGGGGAATTACAAATCTTACAATTGTTGACAGTTCCCACGTGTCTCACAGTAACCCTGTCCGGCAAAGTCTATACACTCACGAGGATGCTGTAAAACGACGTTATAAAGCAGAAGCAGCTAAAGATGCCCTTCTCCGAATACGTCCGGATTTGGTAATTGAAATTATAATTGAAAATCACCTACACGAGTTAAAATTACTAAAGCCAATGATTTTCTACCTAGAATGTGGAAAGTGTCATCCTTCAGATTCCTATGCCTGGCCACGTTGTGGGTGAAAGCATGTTGGAAACAACACGAAATGCCATAAGTCAACTAGAAAACTTAGTGTCTCAGCATGACGTTTGTTTCTTACTTTTGGATTCCCGAGAAGCTAGATGGTTGCCTACTGTACTCGGAGCTACCTTCAACAAAATAGTTATCAATGCTGCCCTCGGTTTTGATTCTTACACAGTACAGCGACATGGTTCTCGTGGATCTTCGCACCCAGACTCTCCAGATTTGACCGTTCAAAACCCCACTGGACAAGATCTCGGTTGTTACTTTTGTAATGACATCACGCAACCAGGCAACGTAAGTTACAATTTAACATATTGTACACTATTTTCTGCACTTAAAAGGTAAATATTAAAAACGATATTTCCAGTCACAGCTAGACAGGACTCTTGATCAGCAGTGTACGGTTAGCAGACCAGGTCTCTCTCAGATCGCAGCAGGACTTGCAGTTGAACTTATGGTTGCGATTACTCAACATCCCCAAGGGTCAGTAAACTCTTTTTTGCAGAAAGAGATCTCTTGTGAGATACGTCCTAAAATAATCCAGAGATATCTTTGTTGCGAAAGTATCTACGTTTGTAGCTAGGCGTTTAAATTTACCCACAATTTACAGGATCGAAGCCAAAGCAATGATGAATTTTGGGAACGACCAATCTAATTCCAACAAAGACACCGTTTGCGAACCTGGCTTACTTGGAGGTGTTCCACATACGATACGTGGTTCTCTTTGGAATCACGAAATGCGATTAACAATTACGCATAGGTTTCCATCGTGTACTGCTTGTTCGGCACCATTGATAAATGAATATAAGTGCCGAGGCATTGATTTCGTTCTCGATGCTTGTAACCAGCCAAATTATCTCGAACGATTATCCGGCCTTGAAGAATTACTGATGAGACCTGGACTGGACGAGGTGAGCGGAATAAAGATTATTTAATAAGAGTTTATTGTATTAAAACCGATCATTTAAATTAATTGTTTTAGCTATGTTATGCCCTAGAGATGTCTAGTGATGAGGACGAGGAAAATGTAAAAACAAACTGAAACTAGTAATAACATCACACAAACATCTTATAAATACACGCTATATTGAAGATGTAAGTTTTTCTATATCGAAGCATATCGCATTGTTTGGCCATTGGTTTATTGATGCAGTAGAAAAATGTAAACTTTTTCAATTTTTCTTTGCACAATATTACTTAGTGAGACGGACTATGTTTTAAATTGATGTTTACATATGCAATATGACTCACGTTACAGTATAATCAAAACTAGGCTTTTAAAACGTAAGTATTTTTATGAATAATTAAAACTTGTTGACCACTTAAACATTATATGTCATTTAATGATAATCTGTTATGTATAATTTTATTGATAAATAAATTTCTACTTGTCCATATTTACAAATGGAATTGTTCCTAATGATATTGACACGTTTCATGTTTAACGTGTACTATCGGTGACACACGTGGCACGGAACGTGTTAAATACACTGTATACAATACATGATATTAAATCATTTTTCTAAAGCAAATGAACTTCTTATAATTCTAAATCAAATCCAATTTCTGTATTACTAGTTACATTGTAATTTATGAATGTTATTTTTTAATAGCTATGAAATTGTTGAATGTACATACAATTGATGACTCATGGAATTATAGATGATCTCTGATTTCGTACGTTAGCTTTCACCGTTTTTTGCCCCCAAGGGCGGCGCAACGAATTTCT